TTTTACCTGATCAGTTTGCAATCCTAGCCAAAGGCACACCAGGAACCACCCTATGACCTCATTTACTAGGAAACAAAACAAAACAAAACACAAAACAACCGACTCTTACAAATCTTTTGAGAGGCTGGAGAGATGGCTCAGAGGTTTCTTAACTACTATTCTTTCAGAAGACCAGAATTTGGGACCCAGCACCCACATTGGGCAGCTTACAACCACCTGTAACTCTAGCTCTAGGGAATTGGATGTCTTCTTCTGGCTTCAATGGGCATCCATATTCACATGTGCATATATAAACACACACACACACACACACACACAGAGACACACACGTACATTTAAAAAAGAAACATTTTAAGATGTAACTTCAGAAGCCACCAAAATAATATATCTATATCTATATCTATCTATATATATTATATATATCTACTATAAAGACACTTAATCTAGCTGTTTCTTAGAAGCCTATACCCACATTAGGGTGTGTTTTATCCTTTATCTAAGCACCCTCCTCTCTGTTATCATCCATGCTTAAATGTATGTTAAAAATCTCTTCTTAATGAACTCTAACTCTGCTTCATACTGACTGCTTCTGAAATTCCTTTCTGCTCTGAAGTCAAGTATCCAGCCTCACTGCAGTGGAGGTCTCTGAAAAGAATTCCTCAGGTTGCTGCCGACTGCACTATGGAGCTGTGTCTCTGGTCCCCACTCCTGCTGCTGCTGACCCTATCAAGCGGTCAGGCAGAAGAACTCTTCCTTCCTACCTTCCCAGCTTCATTATTATTTTATGTTACGTTAAGGTTGACACAAGTGACTCCATTTTGATTCTGACAACTTTCACAGAAGTCTAGTTAACACTGTATGCTGCTAGTGAGTCAGGGAAGGCATGTGGGACCGAGCCCCCTCAACCTATAGGGTCTGATGGCCCCTCTAGGTAGAGAGTGTCTGAATAGAATTTGACTCATAGGATCCCCACTTCCTCCCAGGTCCTATCTGCTAGAGAGAGCTGCTTGATATCTGGGAACTCCACCCTCACCTACTCACAGAAGAGTTCTGTATTGAGTTTATGAATAAAGAGAACTGTGCACTTTATAAAATGACAAGGAGGAAGAGCTAAGGGAGTCTGGGGAGGAAAGTATGGCTACACAGACCACTGCTTGCTGAGCTAGATCCAGCTGACAATGAGGTCAGAGTTTTTCTCTTTCCCATCCCTGATACAGAACAGTCACTGTCCTGTGACCAATCTTTCTCCAATAGTAATAAAGCGAAATGGGAGACAAGCACCCCGAAGTGAAGCGCCTCTGAGGAGGGAGAAGGACACCTGCATCTTCTGCTGTAGTTCTGTTTGATTTTGGCATCTTTGATGTTACTGTTTGTTTGACCCAGAAGCCCTTATTATGCAGCCCAGGCTGACTTTGAGCTCATAATCCCCTTGCCTCAGTCCCACTGTTAGGTTAAGAGCACTTGCTCCAAAATCATGAGAACCACAGTTGAGATTCCAGAACCTACATAACAAGCCAACCATTTCCACAAACACCTGAAATTCCAGCTCCAAAGTAGGGAGAGACAGGAAGATCACCAGGGCCTGCTGGCTTTCAGCCCAGTTGAGAAAACTGGAGCCCCAGGTTCAGGGAGAGACCCTGCCTCAAAGGAATAGGCAGAGTGATAGAGGAGGACACCTGACTACCTCTCCTGGCCTCCATGTGCATATCCAAGCACGCACGCATACACACACACAAAGTACATACACACACAAAATAAATCGTAAAAAGAAGAAAGAAAAGACTAAAATATAACAGCAAAAAATAATCTAGTTCAACTGGTTAATGTAGATCCCAAATGTGGGAAATTCCAGGTAGAAAGTAAAAATTTAGACATTTTGTTTGTGATGTTTGTTTGGTATTATAGGCTTCATGGCGATGGTAGCCTTTTCAGACACTGCTTATTTTTTCAAGACTCTAGATGTTTCACAGAGATAGTTACTGAATGGTTAAACTGGAAAATTTTATGGTAGGTACTATCGAAAGATAAAAATACAATTCAGTTGAACCATGTAAATTGCCTTTCTTTTCAATTCTAGACTTGGGTAGGCAATAATTCATTTCATAAAATGGAGTAAGTGTTCTGATGGTCTAAGCAGAGGAGGTATTTTATACACAGGGAAGGACTTGAAGGAAAGAGAAACAAAACCAGAAAGAGGATTGCTCATTTTATTATTTATTGATTTTGGTTTTAAAATATTCATTTATTTTTATATGTGTGTTTGCCTGCATGAGTTTATGTGCACCACATGCATGCAGGAATCTGTAGGCATTGGATCTACCATGTGGGTGCAAAGTCAGCCTGGGCTATTAAAAACATTTAATAGTTTTATTAATACCATTTAGGCATTGGATCTACCAGTTCCTCTGTAAGAGCAAAAAGTGCTCTTAACCACTGAGTCAGCCATCTCTCCAGCTCCTGATTTTTGGTTTTTGAGAAAGGTTACATGGAGCCCAGCCTGGACTTGAACTTGTTACATAGCAGAGACTGGCTTTAACCACCTGATCCTCCTGCCTGAAATCCTTAGTGCTGGGATTACAGGTGTGTGCCACCATGTCCAACTGAACTGGTATTTTGTTTATTTTATTTATTTTTATTGAGACAGGGTCTAGTGTAACCCAGGCTGGCCTAGTCTGGCTAATGCCTCCCACTCCCAAGTGCTAAGATTACAAGTATGTGCCACCCATAGCTAGTTTATGTGTTGCTGGGGATGGGATCCAGGACTTCATAGTTGCCAGACAAGCATTCTACCAACTGAGCTACATTCTCAGCCTCAGACTGGTATTTTAAATGAACTTTCCTTTGTGAAGTGGGGACAGGGAGACAGAAGTAGGCAAAAATGGATCAGTTATTTCAGACTACTTCTTTTGTATAAGGACTAGGACCCAGGGCACTTCATTATCATGCTAATGGGCTGGCCTGTTTGGGAAATTTGACTGATCTGGTAATCCCGATTTCCTGGGAGATCAGATAAGCAGGTTTCATTCAGCTAGGTGATGTGGAGCTTTAGTGTGACTCCATTTTGATTTTCAACTGGATCGGTGCAGCTTAGTCCAAAACTAAGGCCTTCTGTTAGTTTTATTTAATAGCATAAATAATGGAGTTTGTGGTTAAGGGTGGAAGCAGAGACAGCCAAAATCCTGCGTAGGAGGAAAACGGGTGAAAATACCGGCTTGGACTCAAATATTTATTGAATAAATAAAAAGCAAGCACCCTGAAGTTTGTGCTGAGGAAATGGATAGCGGAGACTTTCAGACCCCTCAGAGGTTCACAACACAGCAGACAGGACTGTGGTGTCTTCAGCATTTCAAAGCAAATATTTACCTCCAATATGAAGGTGTAGACTTCTAGCAGGAACCATAGCAACTCAGGAATAACCTTTGTCTTGGTCTGATTAAAAGCAAATGCTCCTCAATACATTTACTTTGGGGAATGAGCCTCTTAAAATAAGGCTTTCGGGGCTGGAGAGATGACTCAGCGGTTAAGAGCACTGACTGCTCTTGCAGAGGACCTGGGTTCGAGACCCAGCACCCACATGGCGGCTATGAACCTTCCTTAATTCCAGTTCCAGGGGAATCCGACGCCCTCTTCTGACCTCCATGGCATTGCACGAGATGGGTGCACTCACATACATGCAGGCAATACACTCATACACATAAAATAAAATTAATAAAATATATAAAAAAATAAGGCTTTCATTGGGGGGGGCAACAGTAAAAGGAGTCCCTGGAAATTCAAGGATCAGAACCTCCTGAGCTGAGTAATTCTGCTCAGATTAACTGAACATGGGTCAGAACATCAATTCATTTTCCTTCATAAAGACTCAGGGAACACGTGTTACCAAGTGCCTTGCATGGCTATGCTGGGTGTGAGGCTGTGAGAGGCATGAGGATCAACACGTCCATGGAGAACGGTGCTGTTCTGAATATAACCTGAGATGCTGGTGAGAAGGGATGTGCGCAGGATCCAGAAAAAAAACAGCACCTGCACATTCAACGGTGACCTAGGTGTGGGTGCTTCTATTTTCTGTACCGTATCCTTTCATCTGGTTAATATGATGAGATTGCCATGATATTTTAGGTTGATAGCTGCAAACCAATGGTCTACAGGGCACTTTTAGACATAAGGTTTGAAGACAGGAAATTTTATATTAAAACTCTTTCTTTTTTTTTTTTACATTTATGTGTGCACACACATGCCATCTGCATGTGGAGGTCAGAGGATAATTTGTGGGAGTCAGTTTTCTCCTCCACCATGTAAGCTGTGGGAAATGGAACTCAGACTGTGAGGGTGGCAGCAGGTAACTTTACCTGTGTGTGCCCTTTGATACCCTCTCATCTAGCTTTTGTTGTTCTCCTATATAATCCTAAAGTTCTTGTCAGTTCCTGAAAGACACACCTGATGTTTGGTACTGTGGTCTTTCCTGCCTTCACTCCCATTTGGCTATTGTTTGTTCTAATAGGGCCAGTGGCCAACCTTGGTTTGTTGGGACCCCCAGAGTCAGAGTGCTTTTGTCAGAACTCTATTAACTATGTGAGTTTGTGGCATTTTAAAAAAATGGGAAGATAAGGGGTTAGAGAGATGGTTCAGTGGTTAAGAGCTCTGGTTGCTCTTACACGGGGCCCAGGTTCAGTTCTCAATGCCTACATGGCAGTTAACAACCCTCTGTAGCTCAAGTTCCAGGGGATCTGAAGCCCTCTTCTGGCCTCTGAGGTCTTTGGTACACTTATATACATGTCAGCAAAACAGTCATACAAATAAACTAAAAATAAATAAATAAAAACAATTTTTAAAATGGGAAGATAATGGGGTGTGGTGGAGCACAGCTCTAAGCCCAGCACTTGGGAGGTGGTAGTAGGAAGATTAGGAGTTCAAGGTCATCCTTAGTTATATAGTAAGTTCAAGGCCAGCCTGGCCTACATGAGACCTAGTTTAAATAAAATAAAATAATAAAATAAAATGTGCTGTATGAGAAGAAAGAAGGTTAGCACTCCCTTGTTAAAGATGGAAGCGGCCCTCAGGCCTAACAACACGTACACTGTAAAGGCATTGCCACCTGCTCTGTAGCATCTAACCACTGTTTTTTAGAACTGGGGAAATGTGCAGGAGGCACCAGCCTTAGCCAAAGAACTATCGACAGCTAGCTGATCACTACTGGGTGAGGGAGAGTTGACCATAGATAGGCTGAACAGGCTCCAGTAGGTGAACTTGCCCCAAGGGACATCTGGGGACACAAACTTGACTTGATAGTCCTTAACATATATGCCAGTGCATGAAACCTGGTGGGGGAGGTTATGGGGGTGCAGATAGGGGAGGGGGGCCTAAATATGATTAATATGTATTTATGAAATACACAAAAATTCAGTAAATATATATATATGAAAATAAAATAAAACAAATTTAAGAGTGCACTGAGAGAGTGCTCACTTAATATGCATAAGGCCCTGGGTTCAAGCCCCAGTGGCACACACGAGCCCATAGCACACACGTGCACATGCAGACATGACACAGTACTATTACAGCTTCATCATACCTGCTGCTAATGTCATTAGGTGCCTATTGGTCAGGGTGGTCTAATTTCATCTTGCATACTATTTCACACAGGATATTAACAGCAGTAACATTTGACGTGGAAGAGTGTGACTCAGCTCTCCTAGTGGACTTCTTGTGACAACAATACATGTTTTCCTTCTGAGTCAGCATTACCAAGATGCTAGGACTGACCAAAATTAGGTCTTTATAATTTCCACATTGCGAATGTTGAGTAATTAAATTTTTTTCAGCATTGTTTACATATGTAGCTCACACAATCAGCTTCTTCACCATTCTGTGACATACTTGCTACGGTACAGAGCCACGGGGAGAGACATATAGCCAATTCTGTGTTGTACAAGCATCATTTCAATGTAATGAATAGGTAATATTTAATTAGCTGATGAGTCATAGTATAGTAATCCAATATTTTCCTTGCAAAGTCCCTGAGCTTTACACAGGAAATCTTTCCTAATAACAAGAGGCATGATCCTGAGTCAAGTGCCTTGGGTGCCACAGCCTGAATGCACTCGCTGTGGGATCTTGGGTAGGAAGCTAAACTTCTCCCCCGTTTTGTGTTTGTTGAGATAATGTAGCCCAGGTTGGCCTTGAATTACTGATCGTCCTGCTTCTACTTCCCAAGTGCTGGGATGATGGGCATGTGCTATCACACTCTGCTTACAGCTAAAATTTTCTCAGCCTCTGAAGAGTCAGGGTTAAATGTGAAAGCTTGCAGACTGGGGAGATGGTCCAGTGGGTAAAGTACTTGCTGCATAAACTTGAATATCTGAGTTTGAATTCCTAGAGTCTACATGAAAGCCAGCCATAGTAGTCTGTGTTTGTAATCCTAGGGCTGCTATGGGCAGATAGGAGGCAGAGACAGGAGAATCTCTGGAAGCTCTCAGGCTGGTCTGGTAAACCCAATGGCGAATACCAGGAGACCCTGTCTTGCCTCAAAGTGAAAGGCAAGGACCAACACAGAGGCTGTCCTTTGTCGTCCACATGTGCCCTGTGACACATACATGTGCCCCTCTGTTCTCTGTCTGTCTCTGTATTTCTCTCTGTCTCTCTATCTCTGTCTCTTTCTCTCTCACATAAAGAAATAAAACGTGGGGCCTGGAGAGATAGCTCAATGGTTAAGAGCACTGGCTGTTCTTTCAGAGGACTCAGGTTCAGTTCCCAGCACCCACATGGCTCCTAACAACCATTTGTAACTCCAGTTCCAAGGGATCCAACACAGCAATTGCATGACACTTACACACATGTAGGCAGTACACTCAGGCACATAAAATAAAATGATAAAAAATTGTTTTTGGTTTTTTTGAGACAGGGTCGCCTTGTAGCCCCAGCTGGCCTGGAACTCACTATGTAGACCAGATTGGCCATTAAGTCACAGAGATCTGCTTACCTCTGCCTCCCAAGTGCTGGGATTGAAGGCATGCGCCACCACACCCGGCTAAAATATATTTTTTTTAAATGTGAAAGTTTGTATGAGGAAACCAGTAGGACTGTGCCTGGCATCTAATGGGATCAGTATCTGTTAGTACAGTTGACCCTCAGTGTCTCCAGAGGACTAGAAACTCACAAATGCTCAAGGCCTTTATGTAGACTGGTGTAGGATTTGTCTATAACCTCCATAAACTTCGCATCATCTCCAGGTTACAATGCGTTTGAGTAACTGTTATGCTATATTGTTATGGAATAATTAAAGTTTGTATATCTCCATACAGCTGAAAATGTACGTTTTGTGGTGCTGAGGACTGTACCTAGGGCCTCATCTATGGTAGCAAGTGCTCTACCACTGAGATACTTTCCTAGCTCCAGATGTGATTTTTTTCATCCTGTTAGATATTAACTCTATGAATAGAGGGCTAACTGTGTCCTTTTAATAGAGTAATTCTTTTTTTAACTTTACTTAATGTGTATGATGTTTTCCCTGTGTGTATGTGAGTGCACCACATACATGTAATGACCAAGGAGGTCAGAAGAGGGGGTCATATCCCCTGGAACTGGATGCTGGGAATGAAAGCACCATGTGTGATCTGACCCCAGGTCCACTGCAAGAGCAGCCAGTGCTCTTAACCACAAAGTCATCTCTCCTGCCTCAGTGCTGGAGAATCTTAACTGGAGGTGGTGGTCTCAGCATTTCTGTGGGTCCTTGAATATAAAAAAAGGGGACTAAGAGTTGCTTTCAAGATTTATTCTAAAGATTGATTTTATTGTGTATTTATTTTATGTGTGCGGGCATCTCTGTGTACATGAACATGTATATGAATGTGTGTAGGTACTCACAGAAGCCAGAAGAGGGCATTGGATCTCCTAGAGCTGGAGTTGTGAGCTGCCTCAGGCTGGAGCTGGTAACTGTACTCTGGTTCTCTGGAAGAACAGTAAATGCTCTCAAAAAGCTATTTGGGTCAGTGAGATGGCTCAGCAGGTAAAGACACTTGTAGCACAAGCCTGGTGATCTGTGTTTAATCCCTGGAATCCACATAGAGATCAGAAGGAGAGAATTGACTCCACAAAGTTGTCCCTTGATTCCGGCCCCACCACATCATTTACATACACAGTAATAATAAATAAAAACTGAAACAAACACCCAAAAAGTTGTATTCTAGGGAGCATGGGGTACATGCCTGTAATCTCAGCTCTTTGAGGTGGAGGCAGGAGTATCAGAAGTTCAAGGTCATCCTTACCTACAGTCAATTGGGGTCTGCCTGGACTACATGAGACTTGTCTTTTAAAAAAGCTGTATTCTAAAATAGAGTTGTATAGTTTCATTCCACTAATTCCTTCTTTACAATTGGCAGGTGCTATGACAACTCACTGTGATGCCTGGTCAACAAGTTCTGTCAGTTTTCCCTCTGTTTCGTCTATCCCATCCTTTTGATTCCACTGCCTTTGCTTATTCTAGGCTCCCACTGTTTCTCATGTAGAGACCCATGATTCAGAGTGTGGTCTGTGGGTCAGCAGCCTCAGCATCGTTTGGAACTATCTAAGAATCTCAGAGCCTCGGCCCAGACTATCTGAATCAGAAAGCCCATGTAATTTAATTTAATTTGTTGTTGTTTGAGAGAGGATGTTGCTATGCAGCACATGCTAGCCTCAAACTCAAATATCCCCTAGAACCTAGCTCAGATATGACTTCCTCTAGGAAGCCTCTTTGTCCCCATCCCCCTTCATCTAAATCAGTGCTGCTCTGTCATGGCATGCCCTGCAGACCTTGTTACATAGGCCTTTGGTTAGTAGGCTGAAAAATCAGTATTAATAATCATATTAATGACTAAAGCTTGTTCATAGATAGAGCTTAGCAAACAACAGCATCCCAGGGAGATGTATAGAAGATGAGATTAGCTGAAGTGCTGAGACTTTTACATTCTTTCTCACGAGCACTTCCCAGCACAGGTTTTGTAGAATGCAGCTTTTAGACCTTCACAGTTCCCATCTGTCTAGAAGGGTCTATTCAAAGCAGCATGGGAAACATGGGGCTATACACCAGTGCCCAGAGCTTCAAAAATACTCCTTTTTAAAAAAAAACAAAAAACAACAACAAAAAAAAAACCAAAAAATAAAACACACGGTCTCCCTGTAGCCCCAGCTGGCCTGAAACTTACTATGTAGACCAGGATGGCCTCCCTCACACAGAGATCCACCTGCTTCCCAAATGCTGGGATTAAAGGTGTGCACCACCACACCCGGCAATACTCCTGTTCTTAATGGAGCTCTAGGAGAGTGAGAGATTACCCGTGACCCCCTGCCTCAGCCCTAAGCTACTGCCAGCTACTGAATAACCCTGGCAGCCAGCAAAGTATCTGGCACAGAAAGGTGCTAATGATATTTGTGGAAAGAGTAAATGTTAGATGAAAATCACAGTGTCTAGAAGAGACAGAATTTGAACTCAACTTGGTTCAATGGGTGTAGAGAGTAAGGGTTACAGGTTAGTAAAATGGATTTACCTAGGTAATGTCAGCAAAATCTGCTGGCCAATGCACACATTTTTTGACTTAAGTAATTGACTAAAGCAAAGCTGTAATAGGAAATACAGAAATATATATCTACACATATGTTTATGATACATGTATGTATATAAATATATGTATGCATAATTTTACATATTATATACATTTACACATACGTTGGACTTCCCAAACTCATCAGATTCACATATCTGTGCCTCTGTACCTTCCTGGACCCCTTTTTACCTATCACCAGATTAACCCCTATGTATCTTAAAAACCCAGCTCAAATATGACACACATATGCACACATACATTTGTGGTACTGGGGATCAAATCTTGGGCCTTGCACATGCCAGACAAGTGCTCTATCCCTGAGCTGTGTCCCCAGCCCACTAGAAGATAGGCTTTGGAGGATGGATTGAATTCAAGACACTTCTGGGGGCATTATTACAATAAATAAGAGACATGATTATGCATCTGGGGACATAGACTTGGACTTTCAGCACATCTTCACTCATTTCCTGTGTCGTTTAGGGTAACCCTTTTCCAGAGAAGCAACTGCCATTGGTAGGTGAAGTGGAAAATAGTAGAGGTAGAG